TGTTATGTAAATAATGTTATTTTATCCAAAAAGGTAGGTTTTGCATCAGTTCTATTTCATAAAGAACTAATTAATTGTCCTGAATGCTACAGTACAAAGTGTAAAATAAAAACTTCGAGCTAGACATCTGAGATACTCAGCAGACCGAAAAATAAACGAATACATTGCAAAATATTTAAAAAATCGAACCAATCAACTGTTCATCACGTATTTTGAAGAGAAAATTCTCGACTTGTCTTGTAACAAGAAAATCATCTTCGCTTTTTATACGAAACTAAAGGAAAGATAGATGTTTTTCTTCTACGATTTTTTTTAAAATAGCGATATTTTGTATGCACTACAGTTCACGATAGCTAGTCGTTGACTGGGCGACAACCTTTACCAGTAGCACTTACCAACACTTTGAAGCAAAATTGAACTTTTCAAAGATCTTTATGCACTTTTAAAGGCTATCATCGAGATGAAATGGCTCGTATAAAATATTATACCTATCATAATATTCCTAGTTATCGCTAAAACGTCTATGGATATTCTTTATTACTATTTTATATTAACTATTCTAGCATTATTGCTACTTACGTATAGTATATTTGAAGTAAGAATATCTCGTTTATGAGAAGATGAAATATGTTTTGTGGTTCGTTCTAGTAGGAATATGTTCATATTGGTAAATTAAAGTGCTTCAGAAAATAAAAAGCATTTTAAGAAATGTTCTTAATTAATTTATAAATAGTACCTATATTTCGATACATTGTGAATGTTTATATTGGACATAAATATCTGTTGAAAATGTTATATAATAATTACTGTTAAATTTATTAAATCCTCTTTTTATGGTATTTATTGTATGGATTGTATTTTTTTTGTAATTTAACACATTGCGTTCCATTTTGAAGCCACTGTTAAGGCGATGAAATGCCAATGCTATGCACGCTATTATTGTCGCATGTATCAAACCATTATTTTGTTTTTTTTGTGTAATAGTATAGTATTTTATATGTTACTAGCGACCCGCCCCGGCTTCGCACGGGTGCAATATGCATGATATAAACCTTCCTTAAGAATCACTCTATCTATTAAAAAAAACCGCATCAAAATCCGTTGCGTAGTTTTAAAGATCTAAGCATACATACGGACATACAGCGAAAGCGACTTTGTTTTATACTATGTATTGATATGTTTTTATAATAACTATCGTGAGACATACTAAATTAAGTAAAAACGCGGGTTACTCACGTGAGTCACGTGAGTAACCCGCGTTTTTACTTAATGTATTAATATGTTTGTGTTGTGGCAGTACCTTCGATTAATAAATAAATACATATAAGCTTACCAATACAGCTTTTTGTTTAAACCCTGAATTTGAAATTAATGTAGGTCTTAGTTCTATCTTTCATTAATTTTAACTAAATGTCTACATCAGTATCAAATTCATTATACATGACTTTTTATAGTGAAATAATAAAACAAAGAAATATATACCAGAAAACAATACCACTAAGAGCAAAATTACGCTGCAGTGTAAATTGCACAGTTATCTCTCTTATGCGTGAAAGGAAAGAGCTTTTATATAAATTGTTTCAGGCGTGTGTAATTTAACACAGCGACATCTATGATTTACGAACAGAGTTACATTTTAATTCAAACAAAGATGGGTTGGTTTTTGTAACTCATGATATGCAGATGATCGAAACACTATTACATAATTTGTAAATGCTACCTCAAACAGTAATCAATTTTGAAAACAGAAAAGGCAAATTTTGGATTTGATGTCAAAACTAGAGATGCAACGAATAATTGTTTGGTCGGATACCGAATACCGGATATTCGGCCAGACTTCCAGCCGAATATTCGGCCGGCATTGTGATACCTAAATTTTGAGTTTCAATGGTAAAAGCCGTGCAGGTTTTGACTTGAAAAAAAATATAAAGTTTAAAATTGTTTTAAAATAATAAAAACCTTTATTTAGACTTCATTTATAAAATCTACCAAGTTTACTATCCGGTATCCGGCCGGATAGTACAATACCATCCGGTATCCGGCTGGATAGTAAATAACGGCCGGATAAGCCGAATACCGGATAGAAACCGAATATTCGGTGCATCTCTAGTCAAAACTTATGCCAATGCGAATTAAAAATTCACTGAACTTTGGATATATATAAACGTAAACGCTTTTAACTCTTGTCAAAGAGGTCTTATATTTGCGTTTGTATGGAAGTGCACTTGACGATGATCATGACTGATTATTATTGCATTTTTTTTGTTATGCCCGATAATTTTAAACATGTTTCCTATTCTCGTGAGTTGATTTCTGATTCATAGCATCTAATCTATCAAATATTTTTATCTTCACACACGCCAGGCTCTGGTGGGATGGTTAGACTGTTCGTCACATGTTTTGTAGGCTCTGAGTGTTCCTGAAAATAGAAAAAGGATACATGCATAATTATAATGTTACCGTAAAAAAGTCATCAGTAGTAACTACGAATTTGCCTCATTGTGACTTAAAAGAAGGGCAAACTAACTTCTTAATCCCTGATTATGAAAAATCCACAACAAAAATAGTCTCTAACCATCGGAAATAAGGTCTATATTGGAGTAAGTGGAAAACAGTCACCGGTGGCCGCTTGGAGACTGCTTTCACGCTTTTATATTAGTAAGGATTTCCAACTTACATGTATATATACATATATAATTATACTTATACTTACATATACTTTACATATATATAAATATATACATGTAAGTATAATCATATAATATATATTAAGTTTATAATAATAATTTTATATTAATTTTTATCTTGTATTGTATATATTTAATTTTATAATAGTTATTATTAATTCTAGAAAATAAAAGTATAGTAATTATAATAATAAAAAAAAAAAAACTTGCATGTTCCGAGTCAAGCCTGTCCATCTCTTGGACACTCTTCATAATTTTCTGTGCTCTCTTCTGCGCAGACGCAGCTCTCGCTTGCAGGATCTATGATTAAGAAAGTGAAAGTTTTAAGTAATAGCACACAATAATCACACTAATATTATAAATGTGAAAATATCAATCACGCTGAATGTACTGAACGGATTTTGATGAAATTTGGTATACAGGCTGGATATAGGCTAGCTTAGGTGATAGGATTTTTATCCTGATAAAAAGCTCCCATGGCATAAAACAGTAATCACATTCTACGCAGACGAATCTGTGACTCCTCTGGTGTTGCATCCATGGACGGCGCTGATCGCTTACCATCAGGTGATCCGTCTGCTCGTTTGCCCCCTATTCCATAAAAAAGACGAAGTTGCAACAGCTAGTTACTTTTGTAAATGACATTATAACATAACATCACGCCTTCTATCCCCGAAGGGGTAGGCAGAGGTGCACATTATGCCACTGTACAATGTAACACCCACTTTTCACTATTTATGTTAAGAGTCCCATGTAATAGGGGGTGAGCCTATTGCCATATACCGAGCACAATTCCAGACTCCGTGCTAATACTGAGATTTTTTTTAAAAACCCAGTAATACTTTGATTATTTAATATAGTCCATAAGACGATAGCACAGGTACAACTGTTTAGTTGACAATTAGTTAGAAAAGGATAGGAACATATTCCTATAGCACATACACTTTGTCTCCTCTGTTCAGCTTCAGCCAACTTCTCCTCTATATCAGGCAGGCTGATGTCAGGCTGTACAGGTTGGAGCAGCCTCTGCAGGTGAGCAGGTGGAGTGGACGCGCGCTTCGTCCCATCGAACTCTTCAACTGGAATCTCGAAGGCCACCGCTGAGAAATAAATGGATACTTCTTTTATTTACAAGTCATACCACATTCGCTTGAAATACTGTATTCTCGGACTCGTAAAAACTAAACTAAGTACCAATGTGACTTTTCCGAGTTGTATGTACTTTCTAAGATTATTTAGACACCACTGACAAACGGTGAAGGAAAACATCGTGAGGAAACCTGGGCTTATAATTTCTAATTATAAGTTTGAAATCACAAACCCACATTGAGCAGGCGTGGTGATTAATACTCAAACCTTCTCCGTGTGGGAAGAGGCTTTGCTTAGCAGTGGACACTTATAGGCTGATGATGAATGAATGATGAAGTAACCTTGATAAAGGCTTCATGATTGTTATTTGCAATCACTCAACAACAAGTTTTTACTAGATTTGTGTGTAACAATGATTTTCACTCGTGTTACCTACTACCTACCCAAGTAAATAGATAAGTATGGCATTAACACTGAGAATCGATTGCTTATATCAAAACCTATGTCAAACTCAAGGTCATGTAGAAATCAATAACAACAAAATATTAATTACTTCAATTAAACGTAGGCGAAGAAGAGGCGTGCTGATGGAAAAACAAACATTTACCTAAACGAATGTCTTAAGACAGGTAAAGTAGGGTCATAAAGTCTTATAGAGGTTATAAAATCGTCAAAGTTAGACAATAAACCTATAACGCGGTTCTCGGCAACAACGGGCAATGACCTCGTTAGTAAGTTACTTGAGATTGTGAGACCGGTTAAGATAAAAAATTGGTCTTTGAAAAAATTTTTTCGGCGTACAAGATTTCTTATAGGCTTGTCTCTAACTTAGGTTGAAGTTGACAGAAAATTTTGAGATACTAAATACTTAGGCTTACTATGATTACTGACGAACTGTTAGCTGAAGACGTAGTATTTTTTTTTGTATATGTGTATCTGCAATCAGTCACCATACTGTAGTCAGCAGCTGTAGCCAAATGCCACTTAGCGCTTGTCTACATGTAGAATAGAAAACTAAATTATATGGAATTGACGTAAATTTTGACAATTTTCAGTGTCATCCCCATACATTTATTTTTCTACTCTCTCTGGAGACAAGCGCTAAAGTGGCGTTTGGCTAAAGGTGTTGAAGTGAAATCTGGTTTTTGAGTGCAAAAGGCAAATGCCTGATTGTATACATTGTATTGTACTGAAGATGACCATAATTGTTTTAAAAGTGATATTACGAAACATAAATAGAAAACCACCAATGAAAAATAAAAATATCTTACAATAAGTAAAAGACATAGTCGTCACTATTTTTTAGCACCTATGATACAAGCTTAAAAACAAACAAAAGCTTTAATATTCTTACGTGGTTTAGGTAAAACTGGTGTCTCAGGAAGTACAACGGTCGGCAAGTCGTCATGATCGTCATGGTGGTGACCCTTCACTCCAGCTCCGTTCGAGGTCTTCGCTGCACCATTCGCGGTCTCCTCCGTCACAGGAACCGCTGTGGTTGATGAACCGCAACCCATTCTGTGTTTTATGCCTGGTTGAAAAGGTACACTTTTAATTGTGGTAAGTTTCTAATTGAATGAATATTTTAAAGGACATAATAAATGCTTGCCTAAATATGACGTACGGTTTGTGTTAGGTACACTTTAAAACCAGCTTAAGATTGCCCAATTGTTTTCTAAAAGCACCTGACCAGCTGACTGCGATTAACGTGACGTACAATGGATGACTACAGGTCAACTAATAATTTATATTGAATTCAAAAGTACTCACTGGTCGCAAGTGCGACTACCAGGCAAGGGGTCTCGGGTTCGATTCCCAGGTCAGGCAAAGTATTACTGGATTTATCAAAAAATACATAGTAGTAACACGGAGTCTGGAATTGTGCCCGGTATATGGCAATGGGCTCACTCCCTATTACATGGGACTCATAACATAAATAGTGAAAAGTGGGTGTTACATTGTACAGTGGCATAATGTACACCTCTGCCTACTCCTTCGGGGATAAAAGGCGTGATGTTATGTTATGTAGTACTCACTTTTCAGTAGTAGTAGTTCTAGGACTCACTAGACACCTAGACATCTAATCCTTTGAAAACTTAAAACCTAGGTCAATGAACCTAATTCCAAAAACTTTACTAACAAAGCCAAAAGTTCACCCAATAACCTCATTGCTATTTTATTCCGATTCCATTTAACTAACACAGTAATCAAATTATAGCCTTCTCCCCCCACCAGTGGCCTTTAAAGGGGTTTTGATCAACGCCACACTGTCTGCCATAATAAAACGTGGTCATTTATCATTTAAAAAGGCTCAGGCTACTTAAAGTATAGGTCTTTGTTACTATGTAGGTAGTTAGCAGAAGGTCAAAGGAATAGTCCGTTTAGAGTATCGATTATAAGCGGTAAAAGCAAATTAGAATATATTTTTCAACCCCTTCTTGTCTTATTGATGTTGCATAAATAAATAAATCTATTTTTTGTTAAAAGAATATAACCAGAAATTACTTATTTATGTCTTAATTATACATTATTATTGCTATGATATGTCATGTGCCTGAACTAGGTTCGAAACCTGTGTATAAGTCGACTAGTGTGGGAGAGCCATGCTTCGGCACGAATGGGCCGGCTCAACCGGAGTTATGCCATGGCCTTACAGAAAATCGACATGAAGCAACGCTTGCGTTGTATTTCGTCGTGTGAGTGAGGTTACCGGAGGCCCAATTACCCTCCCCTTCCTCAATCTCCCCAATTCCTGAATCCCCAACGATCCTCAAACTCCTAGTCCCCAAAAGGCCGGTAACGCACTTGTAACGCCTCTGGTGTTCCAAGTGTCCAAGGGCAACGCCGATTACTTACCATCAGGTGATCCGTCTGCTCGCTAACCGGCTTATGCAATAAAAAAAAGACATAGACTGGACTAAAACGGACTTCCATACATATGAATTTGAAAAAGTGTAGAGATTAAGATCATCGTATAAAAAAGAGGTTATTGCCACATTATTATTTAATCACTGTCTTAATGTGTATTTAATAACATTACACATTTTTAAGTATCGCAAAGTATAAAGAAGATCAGATCAGCATAAAGATTTTGTTCAAATCGAGTTTGTATTTTCACAACAACAAACAAACATTTAACATTTGGCAATTGTAATGCAACACGTCTTTTTCCAATTTCCCTATCAGCCTACCGCATCGTCGTTTATTTCCGTTTTTGTGTTACATTGTACACAGTTTTTGCTGGAACTACTGTGAAATGGTTATGCCGTAGCCGCCTTGCTACGATTCGGCTACGAACCGGCTACGATCGTGTAGACATTCGTAGTCTACGACTGTTGTGAAATATAATTAATTGTATTTATGTACTTTATATATTTTAATTAAACTTTGAATTCATTATAGTTTCTTGGAAGAATTAATGAATTAATGAATTAATTGATTAATTTATTTTTAGTTTTGGAATTGGGTATTAATTTGTATCTATACATATAGTTATTCATGTAGTGAACCTTTTCAACATTTCTGCCATTTGCCTGAGGTCGAAATACTAATCCGATTTGAAGCTGGGAATTAAATGCGCTCTCATTAGTATCTCGTAAACCGTTTGTTTTGAGATTGGAGCCATTCTCGACTGTGATTGTGACAAAGTAAATGTAATTTTGTGGATTGATTATTATTATAATGGAATGAATACTGAATAGGAAGGGAATTGGCGACTCCTAGAGTCTGTTCGATATTTGACGAAATATTGCAGTTATTTTGAGTATTGACGGTGGTGATGATCACATTTTAACCGCATTGTTATTTGAGTGTTGACAAACAAAAATCGATCTTGTTTTCACATTGTTCAGTTACAAAAATATAATCAGAACTTTTGATTCAAATATTTTTTTTAAGAGGGAATAATCATCGAATTACTTCTCCCGCCAGGGTGAGGCGGGAGGGAGTGTTAGACTCTTTTTGACTAAAAACCACCCGTTCCTTCTCCTGCACTTCGAGCCGGAGCCCCGGTAACAGGTTAGGTTCTCCGCGACTCCGTATCGGCTGATTTAAACATTATGGTTCTATAAGTTTGATAAAAGCGAGAGTGACAGATAGATTTAAGCAAGTACGATTTTGATATGATACACATGAAATCATAGCTTAATTGGCAAAAAGCGACTCATTCGTAAATGCAATTTCTATCTACCTATTTGGGAAATAACGGCATAATCTTATATTGAAATATATATTATAAAATATATAATTAAACATTACACGTGACAAGCTAACAGCTTCAACAGAAACACTTCAACAAATTGTAAATATTTGATTTAATTTAATTAATGCTATGTGTTGGATTTCAAGCAAAATAAAAATATTTATTTTCAATTGGAGTCGTGGAAACCATTACCTTAATTGAACAATTATTTGTTATTGTTTTTGTGTTGCCATAACAAGGACACATGATGTGAACACGTGTTGTAAACTTGAGCGTGCTTTTTATTAGGAAGGGATATCATTGTCGATAATTTTAAATATTTCCCAATATATCATACATCTCTTTGACTGGATTTAGGTGTTGCATTGTTCTCACACAATCGAACCAACAAAACTATGTAACTAGAGAATTGTATTGTGAACCCGATTGAAAAAGAGTAACCTATGGAGTTTCTAGCTCGTTCTTCTCCATAGGAATCTACACCTTGGATTGAGCAACTAGCTTCACTTCAAAATTTTTGTTGTTGATGTTCAAAAATGCCTTCCTGGTCTAATTGAAATAAATTACTTTGACTTTGACTTTGGCTATGTAAACTGTGTTGTAGGTAGATGATTATAGCACTAGTGGGACAGAGAGGACTTAACAGGTTGCCGGGGCTCCGGCTCGATTGGCAGGAGTAGGAACGGGGTGGTTTTTAGTCAGTAAGAGTCTGAGTCTGACATTCCCTCCCGCCTTACCCAAGCGGGAGAAGTGATACGAAGATTTCCCCCCCTACAAAGTGGGGTAGAGATTATGCTGAACTTCTTTGATAAAGAGAAAAACCACGGCTCAATAAACCATGACGGTCCACTATTACGTCTCTTCTTTATAAGAGGGATTGCCATAATCTTATTTGTATTTCGAATGTAGTATCTCAGTTGGTTTTTTGGGTCTGAAATATTTACATTAACCATTAAAATCGCCGCGTGTGATAAGACCGCCCATTGTACTCAAATTACTATTGCAATGTTTACAACTTATTTTCTGTGTGTGCAATAAAGTATAAATAAATAAAAATTAACTAAATGAATATACTGAGAAAAGCTCTAGGTACTAGTTTCGAACAACAGAGGGGTTCTTCTTCATGAGCAGCGTGCCAACCCCTCACGTGAGTAATTCGCGTTTTTAGTTAATTTAGTATATCTCACGATAGTTATTTAAAAAAAATAACAATTAAAAAATTAATTTGATTCATTCTTCTATTTAACAGCCCCCGTTTCCATCCTTTTTACCATTATACATGTATTGTACATACCACGTATGTACTGATATAAATTCGCATTCATTCGACCATGTCTGGCCCTTTCCCACAATTATGCGTCATATGGCATTGAATATAAACGCAAGCAATTACTTTTGCGATTGAAACTATTGATTTATTGAGTCGTTTTATTGTCACTGTCATATTATACAGAAATATGTTAGAATTAGACTGCCTCGTTGGCCGAGTGGTCGCAAGTGCGACTGCCGGGCAAGGGGTATCGGGTTTGATTCCCGGGTCGGGCAAAGTATTACTGGGTTTTTTTAAAAAAATCTCAGTAGCAGCACGGAGTCTGGAATTGTGCCCGGTATATGGCAATAGGCTCACGTTACCCTCTATTACATGGGACTTGTAACATAAATAGTGAAAAGTTGGTGTTACATTGTACAGTGGTATAATGTGCACCTCTGCCTACCCCTTCGGGAATAAAAGGCATGATGTTATGTTATGTTATGTTAGGAATTTGTAAAACTACAAACATGTTGGAATTAAAATTAGGCTTTCTTTAGTATCTTTAGGTAATACCTTGGCTAAAATGAAAATTTAATGTAGGAATTCGCGCTCAAAAGGTGGTGATCAGTGAGGCAGACGGAAGCTTAATTTTCACAGCGAAAAGACACACACCTGTTAAAGACCATCAAATATGAACCAATTTGAATTCACATCAAAGTACCGACATGCGAAAATGAAATCATTAATCCCGACAAATCCGTTAAGTGAAAAAAAAAACAAAATAAATCAATATGGCCGACGTTGAACGGATGCTTAGCAATTTTTCAATCTGGTAACACCGTTGCTCCGGTGTTGCTATTTACCCCGATCGCAGGGATAGGGGAAATACGATGGATTGCCGGCAATATTTCCTGATTATATCCCACCGGCTTGTTGCCTTTGGGCATAAATGGCTGTATGGCTTCGTTACGTTTGCATTTAAAAAATGAGAAGATTTTTTTTTAATTCAATCTATGCTCGCAGCAATTTTTATTTTTCCTTTTTTATTTGAAAGCGTTCGGTTTTTAAAAGAGCAATGTTTTGGGAAAGCTTTGATGGCATGTTGCCTTAGTAAAAATAAAATGTAACTGCTGGATTGAAATTTGGTATTCGGTTCTACGGTGGACAAACTTTACAAATGGACTAAGGTTTTTTGAGTCCGAAATATTTTGTAATAGTTGAAAATAGGCTTGCGTGTCAATAATATCTCCATACTGTATCATGATATGGTATTGGTGTCTAATAAAATAAAAAACATATCTGCTGACTCCATGGCCACTCAGGGACTATTCTTTTATTCATAAATACTTTATTGTACACCACATAAATAAAAGAAAACCAAAGATTAATAAACTGTACAATGGACAGTATTATCGCATAAGGCGATATTTTACAGACAACCTTTGGATTGAGGATGGACTATGAGTATCTTCTAAAAGTCTAGACTATATGATAGTACGTTTACCTTAATTGTCACGTTTTTTTTACGGGGGGAAAATCATCGAATTACTGCTGCCGCCTGGGTGAGGCGGGAGGGAGTGTCAGACTCTTACTGACTAAAAACCACCCCGTTCGTTCTCCTGCACGTCGAGCCGGAGCCCCGATAACCCGTTAGGGTCTCCGCGACTCCGAATCGGCTGATTGTCACGTTTGGTAGGCAGGTTAGAGTTAACGTTTAACAGGCACTTCTCTCTGTTTAATATGTCCAGTCCCTTACTTTTTTTCATATTGGATTGGCCGACGTTTGACCACTATCTCGCCTGGTGGTAAGCGATAATGCGTTCTATGATGGAGCACGTCGTCCCATAAGCAACCTATTCACTCAGGCCTTGAAGACTACCAGGTTACAACCCTTCAGGAAATACAAACTCTGGCAAAGAATTCCACTCTTTAGCAGTACGCACAAGGAAGGTTTATGCGAAGCGCTTCGTGCGTGTTAGCGTTTACAACACCCACCGAGAGAGTAAGAAAATGGAGTGACATACTCAGTGAGTAATATACTCTGCTGTTACCACACAGCAAAATAAAACCCAAATAAATAGAACCAGTAACTCTCACGCCTTACGCTTACACCCGCTCCTATTGGTTGTAGCGTGATATTTTATACACTATAGCCTTGGTCGGTAAATGAACTACCCAACACAAAAATAATTATTCAAATCGGACCAGTAGTTCCTGAGATTAGCGCGTTCAAACAAACAAACAAACAAATAAATTCAGCTTTATAAAAAAAGAAAGTAATCAATATTTTAAGATTATATACAAAGTATGTATACCTTTTTTTGTTGGTGGGGGAAACATTCACAAGGCATTTGGGGAGAAAGACTAGGGAGTGTGGGATTTTTACCTCATTAAAACCACCCTGGTGGCCACCTTCAACTGTAAGGGGCACCGGGTCCTCTAAAAGAGACCAACCAACCAACGCCTGTCACGGCACATCCCTTGGAAGACAAGTGTCTCCCTAGAGCCTCGCTATGCACGGCGGCACGTGACCACTGTGCTACCATCTTCCCTGAGGCCACTGGATGGGCACCTAGAGTCCCCACTCTATGAACCCGTATACATACAAAGTACTAGTTATATACCTGCTTACCCTCTTCAGAGGTTATTTTATGTTAAAGATAAACATCAAACACCGAGTTTAAATCCCGTTTGTATTAGATTAACTGTATACTCGAAGGACACTGGACTGTGAGAGTAACTAGTGAATTATTTATTTCGTTTTCGTCTCAAAGGATATCTGCTCGTATGTTTGTAACAGTTTCAAAGCTGTACAGATTACTTTGTATCTAATACTGCATGTATATATTTTTAGTAGTATGTGATATCTACTTGGTCGTATATCGAAAATTCTGTTTCAAAAGTCAGTTTTGTTGGTTTTCCTGTTGTATATTCTGTTACTCACTTTTTTATGTATACAGAACCAGACTAAATTAGTTTTTCTTTAAAATGGGCTTGTATATAAGGGTTTTTATACTAAACCTTATGGTTTAATGATCAAGTTTTTTTTTAAAAAAAGGGATATGGTTAAAATCGTTTTAATTAATTTTAAAAACGTACAAACGAATGTGTAAAACACATACTTGTTCCAAAGACCAAATGATAAACATGAACGAATAAGAAACGTAACTGAAAAACAGTGTCTGTATTACAATTACACGTTCTTTTGTATAGTAGGTTCAATTCTCTAATGTAATACTAAAAGAAAAAATAATTACCTAATTTTGATTGAAATGATGAAATCTGGAAACAAGCGCTTCAGTTCAAAGCAACACTTCACAAAGTTTGTTTAACAACTACAAAATACAACTGCGTCAAACAAAACTAATCCACCATAATTATTATGAAATCATTTAAATTCACTATTCTACTTTCCACTCCACTTTTACTGACAAACATAATACCTAATGGCTAACCTAATTACGGTTCTATACATCAGACAGGACTCGAACGGGCGACCCGTGCGGCCGCGACCGCATCGTCGACGCTACTATCATACTCGATTAATACAAATTTTATTCTAACTAGTATACTTTTTCCAACCATACGTGGATACTACAACTGAAATGTTTTGATACTTTGTGTTTAGGAATTTGGGACGCTTTGATTGGTTGGCGGCGGCACAGAAGATATAAAGAAGGTTCTGTGGTTGGCGAAATATGGGCACGATTTCGTTGCTGAGGAGTATAGCTTACTTATTTGTCAATTCCTTACTATATGAGATCTATTTTTCTTACCCAAGGAATAATTTTTTATCAGTGCCATTTGCATTACTTTCTTTATTTTTTATTATTATTTATCGACTGCCTCGTTGGCTGAGTGGTTGCAAGTGCGACTGCCGGGCAAGGGGCCTCGGGTTCGATTCCTGGGTCGGGCAAACTATAACTGGGTTTTAAAAAAAAATCTCAGTGGTAGCACGGAGTCTGGAATTGTGCCCGGTATATGGCAATAAGCTCACACCCTATTACATGGGACTCAAAACATAAATAGGGAAAATTGAGTGTTACATTGTACAGTGGCATAATGTACACCTCTGCCTACTAACACTTGTTTCACTATTATTATTATTTTCAGCCATGATCGTCCCGCTGCAAGGAAAAGGCCTCTCTCCTTGCACTCCTCTCTATGTAAAGCTTTTTGCGGCCAATCCTTGTCATAGATTTCCACTTCGTCCCGTCAGCTCCATTTGGATTAATTTAATTTCTTTATTTTTAATTGTGTTAATATTACTTTGATCTGTATAAAAGTTAATCTTATTATGTCATGTAGAGAAAAAATTTAGGATTTAGCCTAACGTAAACCTTGCTTTTTAATGAAAAATTATATGACACAAATGAATAAATTGTACCCCCTGTAAAGTTTTGTAATTAGTATAATGCGTCAAGTGTGACTTTGCATTGTTCTCACATATGCGTACAGTATTGAAATATGTATCAGAGACATTGTAGAACATACTTTTTTAAAAAGAGTAACGAATGGTATTTCTTGCTCGTTCTTCTCCATTCGAATCTACATTTTGGAATGAGCACCTAGCTTCACCTAGCTTCACTAACGTACTGACCACTATTATTTATTTTGTATTTGTTGAATTTTCAAAAGTATCAAATTATGATTTAATTGAAATAAATGCTTTGACTTGTTACAATTTAAAGGATACTTGTTTCAAGTATCAAGTAGTTTTATACTAGCTATGTTTCAGTACTGTAACAATGCTTACATAGAAATTACCATCGCGACTGACGCTCGTCGAACCCCTTCTACGATTTAGATACAGAAAGCTTTAGAAACGACTTTTATTATGATTTCTAAGATGGTTTAACGAAATTGGGATAATGACAGGGTATGAAAATTAAAATTCTAATTAGTCCGTAAGTTAGGTAATAATAAAATAATAGACACGTATTTTATTTTGTCTTATAATAAAATTATACTTTGATAAAACCGATCAAAGTTTAGGAGTGGGGGCTAAAACGTCATTTCTACGTATATTATGTACATAGAAGTGACGTCACGCTACATTTCAAATCAATATATCATCGAAAGTATTCGTTTCTGTAAAACAATTAAAAAATACGTGTCGAATGTTTTCAAATAATCTATCAGACGAACATTAAAATAAAAATTAGTCATCTACCCTATTGAGCACTTCATTTTTGTATAAAACCATTTCACTATCACCAACAGCCTATAAATGCCCACTGCTGAGCAAAGCCTCTTCCTACACGAAGAATTAATCTTGAGTATTAATCACCACGCTTGAACAATGCGGGTTGGCGATTTCAAAACTTTACCTCGGTTTACTCACGATGTTTTCTTTTACCGTTTGTCAGTGGTGTTTAAATAATCTTAGAACATACATATAACTCGGAAAAAGTCACATTGGTACTTGTCGTTGGTAGGTTTCGAACCCTCATGCATGAGAAGCGTCTTGAACCTCTGAACCACCACCACATATGAATCTATTTAATTGCCCCAAAACATTTTAAAGAGTTTAATTTTCTATTATAATAACAACTCCTAAATTCCTAAAGTTAAATTAAACCAATCCAGCAGTTTTTTACACTATGAATTTATTGTCAAATAAATTATCAGAATAAAATTTTATATATATAAAGAACAATATCCATATAGATTGATGACTGTTGATGAAGCGAAAGAGGAATCGTAGTAATTGGCATTCTCTGGTCTCTGCCTACCCCCATGGGAAACAGGCGTGAAGTTATGTATGTATGTACAATATCCACTTGTTAAAACATTGTTTTTAAAATTAATGAACATTATTTATTTCATACTGTTCAAACTAACATTAATATCGAATACCGCGAACTATAACTTTGTAATATTTAATTTAATGAAGTTTTTAGTGTTTTTATATAAATTTGAATGATGTATATTTTATTATTTTGTTTTATATCGAATATCATCTTGAATTTTGTAGTCATTATAGATAATAATTTAAATGTTATAAGCCTGATAAAAAAATAAGTCATGTCCACGATCGACAAATTGCTAACACTTTTATGATAGGCGTTCATACAATATTTATAATTTTTTTTTATAATGGGGGAAGTCATCGAATGACTACTCCCGGTACTGGGTGAGGAGGGAGGGAGTGTCAGCCTCTTACTGACTAAAAGCTACCCCGTTCTTACTCCTGCACTTCGAGCCCAAGCCCCGGTAACTCGTTAGATTCTCTGCGAATCCGTATCGGCATCAGCCCTATTGGGCCCCATCCGTGGTAGTATTTATAAATTCCTAGCAAACATGTGAGTGGCATTATTGAAAAAGATAAATACTTAAATAAGTAAAACGTTATCAATTTCCTAATATTTTCAGCACTGGCTTACTTTTTTTAAATTTCCGATTGCAACACCAAAAAAATTCTAGGACCAATACCGACTCCACGCCTACACAGAAGGCTCGTCACTCATCGGGGTGAACAATCACCAACACCTACCATTGATTGCCCCTACATAATGCATAGACAACCCCCACCCACTCCCCTGTGGCCTCAAATTATCCTACCAACCAATGACCGAGACCCCGTAGCTCAAAATACAAATCAACACTGACTAGTGAAGTCAAGGATCAAGTTATATCGGTCGTAGTATGCATGTCGATAATTTCCAATCGATTTTAATAATTATATGGTTGTCAGGACCTGTGGGTGGGTCGTGGTCCTATTTGATGTGTTTTTTTTTAAAGTCCTGTTGATTTACGGTATGTTTGTGTGCATATGAGTTGTTGTCTGATATTTTGTTGTATTTTAAGTTATTACTTTGAAAATCAAACAGATTAATGATAATGAGTAATTTTTTTTATTTGCATTTTTTTTGTACTGGCTTTTGTTTTATTCTTTTTACGGTTCAGTGTGACGTGATGCTCATTTTATATGGCCAATATATTTACGTATAAGTATTAAGGAAAATATAATAATTTGTAAAGTACATTAGGTTTGCTTTTCCTTTCCATCCTTTGAATTTCGGAGAGTTATGCTTAGGTGTTTTTTAAGTTTTGTTAACTATCATAAATCATCGTGGTTGTACTCTTGTTGTGGATACTGTCATCTGACGAAGATATAAAGAACTATCTACGCTACGCGCTATGTGCGCAACAACTTCATCGATCGATTGGTTTTATTTTCGCCGTGTGTCGATAGGTAGCGGTAGTTGTATCAATGGAAACAAAATATTGGTACTGAAAATTTTTATTTAACTCACAATTTAATATTTGTAATTATTGTTTCTATTCCTCACTTTTGTAAAAATGATTAGTTACTTATCGAGAATCTTATCTGATTTTTCGTCTCAGAAAATTTTAAATTACTTTTTGTCAAACGTCTTTTTGCCGGAATATTAAGGCTGGCAACGGACTTGTGACTCCTATGGCACAGATTACTTACACGTCGGGTGATACATCTGCACACATCTCATAAAAACGTGCTTGTAAGATCAAAAGATTCTTTTTTAATGTGGAAATACTATCCAATGACTTCTCCCGCTTTGAGCGAGGCAAAAGGGACTATTACTGTATCTTTTGGTAAAAGACATTATTTCAAGATGAACATCAACAGCCTACAAGTCGCCACTGCTGACCAATGGCCTCTTCTCACACGGAGAAGGTTTGAGCATTAATCGCCATCGCATAATAATTAGAAATTACAAGTTTAGGTTCCCTCACGATGTTTTCCTTCATTGTAGGTATGTCAGTGATGTCCAAATAATCTTAGAAAGTACAGATATATAACTCGGAAAAAGTCACATTGGTACTTGGCGTTGGTAGGTTTCGAACTCTCACCCCCTCAAGCATGTCTTAAACCTCCGGGTCACCGGACTCTAGATATTATTTACCTGGATCGAAATTCAAGCGATTAGAATTATTTTTTTTTTTTTTTTAAATAAACGTTGCCCCACACTAGGATTTTCTTCTGTGGCGTGGGTGCGTTTACAAACATACAAGTTCACATACACAATATGACACCCAGACCCGGAACAACAATTTGTGGATCACACAAAGTGTTGCTCCGTGCGGGAATCGAACCCGCGACACGTTGCACGGCAGCCGGTTGCCCAGCCACCGCACCAACCGTGCAGTCAAGTCAATTATTAAACACTTAACATACCAGTCACTAACATTCGGGCACTTTTCGTTAGGTGTATTAACCTGACTTCCACCCACCACCCTCGTAGGCAACAGACATTTACACAAAAATCTAGACACCAAGAAAATAAGGACAAAATTATCGATTTAATAACTTTGACAGGAACATTTAGACAAATAATATATTTGAAAGCTTTCCTGAATGGTAACTAGTGAGCCGATGAACCAGTGACCTGAACTTTACATGACAACGCATTTTCATTGTATTTTGTTTGAGTCTGTTGTACGGTAGCCCAGTGTAGGGCAATAGGTTCGACCCTTATTGTATTTGCTAACATAATTGGTAGAATG